ATAGGAGGCCTTTGTCTTCTGAATCGAAGGAAGCCTAGACGCCCAATCGAAGGATGAGTCAAGCTTGTTTGAAGGAAGCCTAGATTCCCAATCAAAGCCAGAATGAATTGAAGGAAAATTGCTTTTCTTCAAAAAATCATTTTTATCTGCTTTTCCCCATTTTAATAGTTTCCTCTTTAACTTGATGCTGGAAAATCCAATTGTACTTGTGCAAGCTTAAATTTTTTAGAATCCTTGTGAGAAATGCCTTGAGAAAAGAGAGGGAAAATTTTTGGGTACAACAATCTTCTACTACACAAGAAAGAACTTTGAATGTAGAACTCGACCTTTGAGGTATTTTTATTCTACAAAACAACAAATGTCCAAGAGCTCAATATCTTATATGTATTCATCACAGAAGTATCACCTTATCTTCTACTACACAGAAGAAGCACACAGCTGAGGAGAAAGAGTCTGGAACGGTTTGCCAAACATGGACTGAAGCTTCTAAAAGAAGCCATACAAGTGTCTGACTTCATACTTCAACCCCTTGCAGTTTTCAATATCATAACCAGGTGCCCTAGAATTAGGGACACATCCAGCATTTGCATCGAAATTAGGAGAGAAATTTGTGGGAGGATGACCCAAAGCACGAAGCTTAATCAACTGAGCTTCTAACACAAGAGGAAGTAATTTAATGTAAGGTATAAATATTGCATCAACATGCTTCTCATGTTTCTTCTATCTTTGCTGATAAGCTTTGCCCCATGGGTTCACTTGGAGACCAAAAACTAGCTGCTAGCAAGAAAATCCAAGAAAATGAAGTTTTGGGTGAGAACCACCAAGTATCTCTTGATTTGAAAAAGTTACAATATAATGGATAAATGACAGCTTCTGTTGTAACAACATATATAGGACCACTTTCCTTTGCTGACAGTGTCTTCAGAACTTCCATACCGGACTCAACTAAGTTTTCAACTGGTTATTTTTTCCTTTAAGGATTTCTGACTACATACCATTGCTTACATGCCCCCAATAAATAGTCCCATCTTATTTTTCATCTCATCCCATTCCCTACAAAAGTTGTTCCACATCTTTTTCGGATAACAGAGCGGTGAGAAGTCGAGATTCACAATTCTGAAAAGAAAATATCGGACCTGAATAAGAAATCCCCATACTGAGTACCTGCTATGAATGCGTGAAGATTCATGAGGTGAATTAGTGAATGCAATTCGTGAATACAATTCAAGAACCCACATGCTTCGAGTCTTTTATAAGTAAGAGATAGATAAACACAACATAATGTTTACAAGCACGATTCCTTAGAAATGGAAATAACATGTGTGTTAACTCTTTTCATGCATACATTTTTACACATTTCTTTTTTTGTGAAAATAAATATGCTATGATGCAAGTGCAATACCATAGGTTCAAAATTTCAGTATAGCAACTGTACAATCCTCTGGATAACTACCGTATCAATCAGCTGAATAATCCGAATATCATATAATCAAAGGTTCGGTACCAATTTCAGGACACAACAAAACCAAGTAGCGTGGATGACCATTGCATAATTTTTGAACAAGTGGAATATACCGGGATTAAAGGTCCAGAACATAACCAAAGAACCATAGCCACCAACAGAACAAGGTCACCATATGAACAAATAGTCACCATTTGTACCTGTAAATATTATCCCTCCCCACTCACGGGTTAAGACTAGGTTAGGGTAGGAAAAGGTTACTTAGAATCGAGGGTACTCCAGAGAAATTATCTCCATATCACCTACGTGAAAATAATAGCCCCTTATTCGTACCTCATCTGAGCATGGACGACATGACGACAATAGTGAAACCTAAGTCAACTATCCGTTCATGTTCCACTCTATTCCTAGGGTTCCTATGGTTGTCACTTGGCTTAGGTATTTGGCCTTTTACCTCATCGTAACACCCAACCAATCATGAAAACAGATCCAGCACAGCAGTATCACCAATATATGGAAAGCGATAAAATACAATGCATATATATGCTCACATAGACAGGTATTAATAAACAAATTGTAAAGCATAAAAATAAACACCTAAAGAAAAGAAAGCAAGAGATAGGATCGACTCCGGGATGGACCAGCAATTGGTCAACCTGTATTGCTGGAAAGTTCCCCAATGAAGTCGCCAGCTAAAACAACCGGCTGAGCAAATCATCAAGATGAAATCAATGAAGTCTCCATTGAACGTTTTTTATCCCACGTGAAGGGAAAGGTAAGCATCGAGTAAACCTAAGAAGGGTGAAATCAAGGTCAAACAACAGAGAGATCGGGTAAGGGAGTCTGTTACACGAGGGGAATGTATTAGCACCCCACATGCCCGTAGTACTCTATGGTATCGACTCATGTTGTTCTAATCTAATGGGTGTGTAAGAATCTATATCTAAGTTGTACAGGGAATGCATGCAAAAGAAAAGAGAAAATAATATAGGGAAAATAAAAAGTTATGCTCGTTCGAGCCCTACCCTAATTCCTATGTATCCCTTTTAAGGAATCAGAGCAGTCGTAGTTCGGCTCAAAAGTTTCTGTTGGTTTGTATTTTTTAATGAAAAATGTTAATTTTGTCTTCTACCGCAGCTCGACCTTTGGATACTCACGTGTCAGCACAGAAGTGAATTAACATGTTCTTTTGAAAAAGTTTGGAAAGAAAAGCCCGAAGGCGCAAAAGAGTTTGCATTGGTTAATGTTTTTAACCTTGAAAAATGGATTTTGAAAATTGTTAGATGTTTTATGCTTTTTTTAAGAAAAAGAGTTTTAGTCTTAATGCAAAGATGTAAAAGAAAGAGGAAAAAAACATCTAAGGGAGACTAACCTAGATCTATCATACAATGATGGCCCTATGGTTGAGTTTTGAAATGGAAATATCTACCCTATGTTAGAATGCATGGATACATATCCTAATGTCTAGCTCGAAAGCTACTCTAATCGAGCGATCCTAAGGGAAGCATGGTATAACAAACAAATAAGCAAACAAGTGCTTTGGAAAAAACATACAATCATGAGTAACATATACTGACTCAAAGGGATGGGGAAACAAGAGAAATTCTTTAGCTAAGGGGAGCGTATCACCCGAAGCAAACAAGCGGGAGACGTATGAAATAAAGAAAATGTGACGTCTGAAGAGAACACCTAACCAAGATATAGAAGATCGAGGTAGGCGACAAAAGACAATATGAACGATCACGAAGTGTCAGCATCGACCAATGCAAACTCATGACAAAGCGTGAGAGTTTGATTGCAAAACCCTTCCCCATTTGAAGGACTCGATATACAAGATATGCACAACTCCGAAGCATCAACGTACAATGTGAGCTAAGGATGACACGGACTAGAATGTGCGGGGTTCAACTACGGACCCTCCCAGCTTGCCTCCTTTTGAGGACTTATCATCTATAATATAATGCGGGAACAAATGCAAACACATGTGCCGAATACCTACTTCAAATGTAGGATTTTAAACAAACACAGATAGCATACAGAAAGTGGTGCCTTCTACAGGACTTTAAATAGCGACTTCGAGTGCACGCTCTTTATTTCTTGCTTCCTACTTCACATGATCTCTAGAAAGCGATAAATGTCCCTACTATACATGATATCTATAAAGCGGTAAATTCTAAAATAAGGTAAACATGAGAAAATACCAAACGAACAAATGTTCGTAGCGCTGCGAGCAAAAACAGAGAAATTTGGAAAACTTCGAGTAAGCTTCACCAAGCAATAGAAAAGAGTAAGAGATTAAATGCCCATAATAAGTGTCGAAGCATCATCGATGTGAAAAATAAATCACAATCGAAATCTCAAGCATATCCGCACATCGCACAGTAAACCTGCATAAGACTCAAATCTCAACAAGCAAAGGTGAATTACTAATCTCAAATAATCGGATAATCCAGATTTAATTCCTAAAATCAAAATAAATAAAAATCTAACAAGTTTTTATATTTGATTTTATTATTTTTTTATCATATAAACAAACTCAAATAAAACAATTATCAAAAATATCTAAACAAAAATGCAAATAATAAAAAAGGGGTGCAATATGTACAAAGTGCTGCTACATAGCAACCCAAATTCTGGTGCTAAGCCCAGTCCATGAAGCCTTTTTTGTTACAAGCAATCAAACTACCAAAAAAATAGTTGTTGTGGGCTTTGGGGGGTGCAGTCTGGGAACATGTGTGCTGAAGTAAATTGGTGCTGAGCCCAATGCAGAATGAGTCCAAGAAGATCTTTTTGTTGCAAGCTTCCAAGCTGCAAAAAAATGATACAGGCCCAAGAAAAGTTCAATAACAACTACCAAATTTTTGTTTGCTTCATCCTGTCTAAACAAAAAAACTCACGAACCCAATGGGCTTCAGTTTGGTTTGCAGTAACACAGGCCCCACAAATATTTCAGCAATGATTTGTTAACATTGAATAAAAGAAACTTAAGAAAAATTAATAGAAAAAATTATGAAATGGTGTGTTTGGAAATGGATAGGGTTCAGAAATTTGTGGCCTTTGATCTTCCTCAAGAAAATATGATTCTCTTCTCTTCTCTCTCAAAATTCTGCCGCACCAACGACGACCGTCACGGCTGATGCCAGAAACGTAAGAACCTCGTTGACTCAGCTTCGCCTCACCGCCTTCATCCCGAATCCGCAAATCTCAATCACCGATCAATCTTCGTTACGACTTACGTTCCTCCTCCGGTCTGATCACCATTTCCGTCGCGATCTTCAGCCCTTACACAAATAGCACCTTTCGTCTCAATTTGAAACTTCGTCCCAAGTTCGACTTGCTTCTGATTCTGGCTCCATCCTTATGATTCACAATCGCAAAATCCAAAAGCATCATAACCTAAAAACGGGATTCTTTTTTGAAAGAGATCCACCTGAAATCCAGAGATGAGAACTTGAGTGCTTATGTATGTGTTTCGTATCCTATTCTTCCTCTGGTTCCACTTCTTCTACAATTGTGTTTCTGCATTTTTGTTGCGGATCTATCGTGATGTTGTTGTTGTTGATTGTATAGTTGCGATTGCAGAGTGTAGACAATTGTTTGAAGTTAGGATGTTGATGAAGACACGGTCAAGATTGAAGGGAAGTGTTGTTGATTTGATACAGATTCCTCGATGAAAGTAGGTTGTAGAAGGTTGAAAAGGTGCAGGTAATTTTCTGGTTTTTCTGGTGATAGAGGATTGCAGAGAGATTGGAGAAAAAATTTGATGAAGAGTTGTTATCATGAAGTTGTAGTTTTTAGAGATAAATATGAAGGTTGTTAGAGAATTGAAGAATGGATAATGAAGACTAGTGAAGTTGAGAGAGAATTTATTGAGAGGTGGTTATTTGTTTTCCACAGTTTCCTTTTTTGAACTAAGATGCAGATACAGGGATGTTTCAATTTTGAGTTGCAATTATGCTGTTAATTCTGATTTTCTGCATTGGAGTGATTTAATATTTCGGGTTTTTATATAAACTGGTGCAGGACCATGATCATGACATTTATCCCATTTGGTTTGTATGCAGGTTCAACACATCCAACCTGAGTTTCTCGCCATTGATGTCAATAACAATATGTCCAGATGCTCGCTGGAGAATAGTGTGTCCATATGCAGAGGCCACAAAAACTAGAGTTTGTTCATCCGGGGATTCACCCTGATAACCAATGCATTCTACATATCCATTTGATTCACTTATTCCATAACCAGAAAATCCACCATCAGTAAGTATAGGAATCACAGTACTACAATCAGCCAATGTAAGAAAAAATTCATGAGCAGCTATTCTTTCATCTCTATTTGAGTTTCTATGCAGCATGGTCTTAGGCATAAGCCTAGGATTTGAGCTTAGAATTTAGGAAATGATTTTTGTGCACCTGCAATTTCCTTGAATGTATTTTGTAACACTTCTATGTAATATTTCTTGAATGGAAATTTGCTTTAAACATGGCTTGATGTATCATGAATGCACTTTGAAACTTGATCTTGAAGACACTTGAATGAATCTTGAATGATGTTTGATTATTTGAATGGTTTTGGAATTGAATTTTCCTTTTAGTGATGTAATAAAACTTAAACGACATTTTGACTGTTTTTGAATCATGGATGAACATGAATGAGCATGATGAACTTTTGAATAAAATTCGAATGAAAATAATGAAAACCTCTAGCTTGTTCACCGCCTAATTTCTCATGAATGAAGCATCATTTTAAATCTTTTTTTTTTGTGAATGATTTTTGGTATCTTGAATTATTTTTTAATTCAAACCCCTTTTGAATTCAAATGAAAGCTTCTTCAAGGTTAATTCAAGTTTATCAATCCTCTTTCTCTGAATAATCTTTCAACTTGAACCGAAATAAACTCTTGAATAAATTTAAATGGAACTTTAATGGTAAATGATAATGATCTCTGTTTAGTAACTTGTAACTTTAATTCCAAACAAATTCTTTCCTTTCCGGCCTTGCAAACCTTAAGTCTTTTCAATCCATTTAAACACTTTAGACAACAAGAATGAATGATAACCAATAATAGAATTCAAATTAATCTTCATCTCTTAAAGAAATCAGGTCTTGAAACAAAATGAAAAGAATCCTCAAGCTCATCTCGTAAGCCATGGTACTTGTATTTCATTCTAACACAACGAATATACCCCGAATAGTCCTCGGAGATGGAGATGATACATGGGTCACATAAGATCATCTTTAAGGAAATTCAATTGAAACAAAATAAATGAAAAATCATGATCTTATGAGAAGTACATTGAATGAAGAAGCAACTTACCATCAAAGCCATAGTTCACAGCCTTCTCAGTTAGAATCATTGATGAAGGGATACATTGAATACCATTTAATGGGAAGGATATCCTTGAAGCTAGAGAAATCCTTATTCAACATAGTGACTGATTGAAGAAGAAGCAGGAGAATCAGGAACATCAAGCTTTATTTTATATGCACACCTCAAAAGAATGTGAAAACCCTGACATCGCACGCCCACCGAACTTTTGAACCCCAGATGCTTTATTCAATTCAAATGCATGTTATGTTAATACAGATGACCTAGTGAAAAGATGTGAATGAAAAAGCCTAAGCCAAATATCAGAACAATTAGGAGGGTAAATTTTTTGGTGCAACACCCTCCTCAGGTGATTTTGCCTTTAACAAGGACTTAATCCACTAATCTCAACAGATTATAGATGCACGGGCTACCCGCCGGTGACTAATCACAACCTCCTAAGAGACTAACTGACACCTTAACCCTCTCAAGTCTCAGACTATCAACCTAGTCACTTGGGGTAATAATCAATTCTTAACAGAATTACAATCAACTGTTTTTACAATGTTTGCTTCTAAATAAGCATATTAACATCACTATGGAGAAAAAAGTCTCTAATACAAATAATGAGCAACAACTCTTTGTAGTGAGAACTCTATGATTAACACACAAATAATGAGCAAAAACTCTTTGTGTTTAACCCTTAATATCTTAACACAATATCAAGCAACAACTCTTGTGTTCTTGATATTTCACTAGAAGAATATTTGTAGATGAATATGAATAGTGATTCTTCTTTTCTCTTGGTGTTTCACAGTATTTCAGCAATTATATTCAAGAGTGATAATGGTTGATAGTTCGTCAATCTTCAAATGTTGATGAGATCTCTTTATATAGGCTTGAGAATAGACCGTTGGTGGTACGAAGATGTCACTTTCCTTTTCCGGCTATAATAACTGTAACATTTCATCATGGGAGACAACATAGTAAAATACATAAGTGTAATGCGGTGAGAGAACTGAGTTCGGATATTTTGCGTTTGATTGCATTTGTTGCGGATAGCAAGAGTCGCCACCGACTTTTCTTTTATCCAAAAGGAAAGGCTGAAAAGAACAGGAAAGACCTTTAGAGATGTTTTCTGAGTTCGGGGGGTAGGTTATGACAAGGGAAGGTATTAGCACCCTTTTCATCTGTAGTTATCTACGGGCTCTTAGTTGCTTGCTAGATAACTTGTTTTTTTTTGAAAGTGTGTTTTGTGGTGTGGTTTTGAAAGTATTTTGAAAACGTGCCTTTGTAATAATTCTCGTCTCATAAGAATGCATACAAAGTGTTGTTAGGAAAATAGTTCAAATAAGTGTTTGTGTTTTTGAAAGTGATTTTGAAAAGGGTGTCTTTTTAATGGTTCTCGCCTTTATGAGAACGCATACAAAGCATTGTCTTTTGAAAATGTTTCAAAATGAAAGTGTTGGTGTATAAAGTGTTTTTGTTGTGAGCAAGCGAGCAACTAGGAGCAATCTACCTACTCAAAAGGTCTTAAATATTCTTTTCCTCTTTCTTTAGATGTTGCTACCTTACCATTATTTTGGTAAGTAGCCCCATCATTTGATGTAAAGGTATGGGCGTGGGTCATTGTATAGTCGTGATAGCAATGTTGTGAGATATCTTAGCATTTCTCTTGAGGGACTAAGATCATTTGTAAGGCAACATTCGAAGCGTCATCGAGGGACTATGATCTTGTATTTTTATTGTTCTTGCTAAGATATCTCGCATGCATAACATGACCATTTTTAGACAACAAGTGGAGTTAACCCTAGGGGTGCATGTGTGAATAGTGTGTTTGATTTGCATGCGTTTAGTCTTTGATCAGGGGTTGTCTACTTGTTGTTTTTATCTTGCCATACATTCTCTATTTTACTAGCAAGCATACAAAAGTAATAAAATACAGAAAGATAAAATCCTACACTATTACAACGATATTTAAGTGTATGAAAATATAAAGGAAAAAATAAGATAAAAGCGAGAAAAATAAAAGTCTCGATTGAGGCAGAAGACCATTCGATTCTGCACTTTCTGGCTTCCGTTGATTGGGGGCTGGCACTAATGTAGGCGTGTCCTTCGATTAGGGCCTGGAAGTCAACATGTTGTATCCTTCGACTGGGGCCTGGAAGTAGCATGTTGTGCCTTTCGATTGAGGCCTGGAACCAGTGCAAGATGTAACCTGCCTTTTTGCCTCCTTCGAATGGGGGTTGAAAGCAGTGAGGGAGTGCCTTTCGACTGGGCCTGGAATCAGTGCAGGAATGCTTTTCGTCTAGGCCTAGAAGTCAACATGGTGTGCCTTCTGGTTGCCTCTTTCTTTTGATCTGGAGGTTAGTATGGAAGCCAAAGGCTTCGTTTCCAACTTCCTATTTCCTGTTTCTTTCGTTTGAGTTTGAATAGAAACATTGCCTAAGGCCATGCCAACATTACCTTAGGGTCAGGTTAATTCTTAAAGCTTGTTTAAATGTACAAAGAGCAAAAACTAAGAAGGTTTTTAACCATGAAACATATTAAAATGATGAAAACGAAAATAAGAACAATAGTATGTACATGTTTGAAACAAAAAGGAATCGTATTTACATGTTATGCAAGAAACGAAGAGTTTAAGGTTTAGAACAACTTACCTTGTTGGATGCTGGAGCGTGTGTTGGACCTTCAAGTGGTTGGACTAGATGCTCTTGGATTTGAAGGAAAGAAACGGGTGTGGTGTTCCTTTGACTGGATTCAAAGGTCAAGAGGTGTGAGGGCGGTGTTTGTTATTTATGGATTCGAAGGAAAAGAACAGGTGTAGTGTTCTTTCTACTGGATTCAAAAGAAAAACAAAGTGTGGGGATTGTTTCAGATTTGAAAGAGAAAAAGAAACAAGTGTTGTGTTTCTGTAGATTTTAGGTTTGAGAGTGTATTTAGTGTTTGGGAATCTTGAGAGTTTGAGAATTTTTTTGAAGGTTCTTCCCACATAGCCAAAATCTGCCACCATTTTCTCTTGTTGCCTCCTTCCAGATGTGCAAATGAACTCTCTATTTATAGAGAAATTTTTTGGAATGAGCAGCTTTGTGAAAGAATAAAATATAGTTTCTTTGAAAGACCAACATCCACTTGTGTCAACTTTTTATAATACCAAGATAAAAGTAACAAAAACAATAGTTTTGATGGGTGACTCCTTGTTTATAGGGGAAAAATATGCAGAAGAGACGGGCGCAAGGCTCAAAAAAATTCTAAAAAGGTAGGGATGTCATAAGAGCAAGTTGGCTTGAAGAATAATTTAATATGGAGTGAGGCACAAGTTGGAGGCCTATGTAGCCTGACCTATGGACAATTGTGCGTTCTTCAAATGTCCATCTTCAGTTGAATATGCCACTTTGAGTCCTCTTGCTTTTGATCACTTAGGCCCAAACCTTCGACCAGACTCCAAAGTAAGCAAAAAACAATTATTCCCTAACTATGGAAAGTCCTTCGAATGGGCCACCAAGTTGTGTGTCATAATGCATCACTATGGCATATTGAAGGGTTTGTAGATGGATTCGAAGGT